CTGTCTTTGGCGGAGCATCTGGTTAGGGGGAGCTGGGCTCCACAAGAATGTAGCTTTCTATCAGCAGAACAAGGCAATTGGCAAGCATAGCTTTTCTTTTCTGCCGATTCTCCTTTTACATGAATCCACCCCATCCCTGTGCCCCAAACACCCAGGTGCTTTCAGATTTAAGAATCTTGGGCAGTGGACATAGAGAACCTGTGCAGTCTCTGAGCTACACACCCCAGCTTCAGGGAGATTGCCAGATCCTGATGGGAAATTACTTGCTTTTCCCCGATCGTTTGCCCTCCTAACTAAGTAAAGGGAGTCCTCGTCTTCACCGTCTCTCCCTGAGAAGTGCTGTGCTCTGTTGAGGGCACCTGCCTGCTGACTTAGCTCAAACCCAAGCCAGAGCCCTTCCTCTAAGACTGGCGAGACTGGTTCCGTGGTGTTCAGAGCAATGTTCAGTCTAAGAGATGACTTTTCATAACTGCTGATGATCTGTTACTGCTGCCCTGAGCTGGGGCCCAAGGGCTGGGAAATCTATTGGTGCTACCCTGCCCTGCCATTCCCCCAGCTCACCGACTGCCAACAGGAAGTGCTGTTTGGCCAGTTCCCTCCCACTTACCCATCCCTCCTTTGTCCCTAGACCAACCATGTTTACCTCTGTGCTTTGCCAACTTAGCCAGCAGCTTTAGCCAACAGGCCATCTCCCGGCCCAAACATCTCCTGGCGATTCTATCTCAGTATGGCCTTTACACCCTCAACAGAATTCTGTATTTTGCCCCAGTTTCCTCCTCCTAAGTTCCTATGAAGGTTACTCCCATCACTTCCAAGGAGGGAATAGTGGTTATAGAAGCATTTGCGCTTTATATAAAGATTTTAAAAAGAATCTGCTTTTATTTCCCAAAGTTTGTCTCTAGGGATGAGACACTTGAACTCAGGCAGAGGGATGAGGCAGGGTAGGGCTATGCCGAGTTTAGGGGCCTATCTCTGCATCTGACTTAAATCTTGGAATCACCTCTGTGAATTCCACTTGCCTAGTTCTCCCCGTACATTCTCTCTTCCTACACCATCAGAGAGGGAAAAGCTCTTTATTTAAAAGGAAGAGAAAGCATAAAGCATCTTATTTTCTTTTAAAAGAATTTTAAACCATGAAAAAGATATTTTTAAAGAAAACCACCCAGAACATTAAAGTTCATTATATTAAGTATTTATCATGTGTGAGAATAATAAGTATGTAACTTCAGCTAGTAGGTCCCTTTCCTTGATCTCTTAGGTTGTACGAGTAGGGTTTGCTTGGTGCCAGTCCTGTGCCCTTTTCTCTCCTGTCACCTGTAGTTGTGATCAGAGCAAGATAATCTGCACTGCACTGTCAGAATCTCCTTCCACTATGTTGTGTGTTAAATTACCGTAGCTCTTTGTTTCATGAAATAAACTGTGAATTTTTTTGGGGGGGAGGGTGCAGGCTTTGTAAACTGTTTCAGTGGAGAAGTTTTATCCTGAAGTAGCTTCTCTGACATCGGCTTTGGTTGGTACTTGACAGCAGCCACTCTGGAAATGTCTCACAGGACAGGAAGGATTGAGGGGAAGGTGGGGCTGTGACTGGCCACTTTGTGGTTTTGTTTTTCTTCTTTCCGCTCTCCACCATTCACCGCAGACTTCATTCCAGACCTGCCTGGGAAAACAGCCTCTGAGCCGAGCTTGGCTTTGGGGGCAGTACCTTATCTAAATGGATGGATAACCAGGCTTCTGTCCAGGGCCATTGAAAGACTCAGGTTGTTGAATGGAAACTAGAAAGTTTTGAGGTATCAGGCCCACTGGTAGCAACACCTCATTTTAGATTGTTAAGGTCATGAAAGCAGTCCCTGTAAAAATTTAACAGCAAAGTCAGGACAAGTGTCGGGAAATTGAACCCTTGCGTGAAGGTGGGGAGGGAGTGGCCTCTCGGGCCCTCATGGATTCCCCTAGAAGCTTGTAATGAGACCTTTCCTCCAAGGGGGTGTGAACTGGGAATGAAAGGAAATCCTTTCCATGGAAATTTCTGATCTTTGTGCAGTGTGGTATTTTGGTGTTTGGCCAAGTGCTTGGAAATCATGGAATCTCAAGAGAGTCTGCCTCCGAGCCAGCTCCCCAGGGAGCTTTTTCAAAGGGGGAGCCAAGATGGAAACGCTGCAGAGGTACCTAGAGTGCCTCTCCTGGCCCTGTCAGGTCAGAAATGATGGAAACTATTGAAGTTTGTATTCAAAGCCTCGTTGGCTTCTCCTACTGGAACGAACCCATTCTAGTAGCAAACTAGCTGTCATTGTTACAAAAGCATCCACATTTTTAAACGTTTACTTTCCCCTAAAGTTGCTGAGTTTGAGATGATTTAAATCACTGTCTGTAGATCCTCTTCTGAATGATGACCACACCCATGTCTTTAGCATTGATGAAAGTAACTATTTTACCCTTCGTATCCTCCACCCCACACTAGGGTCAGGGCATGGAGTGCCTCAGAGATACTTTCCCAGGCTGAACACATCTGTCACTGGAGCTGGACTGCCAGGTTGTATGTTCTGAAGTTGCCTTGTGAGAATGGAGGTTAGGAAGGAAGTCTGATCTGGGCGGCTTCCCCTGTGGAGAGTAAGCCAGAAAATACTACACCTGGACAGGTTCTGCCCTTGACTCCTACAAAGCGGGTTTTCTCCTAAGGCTTTTGTTGAGATATTGTCGTCTTGGGATTTGTCAGCCAGGTCAAAGGTGGCCCAGTGTCCCAACTTCTCTGAGATCATGGTAGGAAAGGAACTCCCTCAAGCCCCCTTTCCTGCTGAGAGCAGTGAGCTGCTCCATGTGTTAGACATTCCAGATCATTTAGAGCTAGGTAGCTGCTGCAGGAGACTCATTGGCTGTGTCCAGTTAACGCTCAGCTGAGCTTTTGAGGGCCTGTGCAGCAGGGCCAGAGGTTGCTGTAGTATAAATTGAAATAATAGAAAATTGCTTTGTACACAAAAAACGTAATGGTGCTAACTTCCTGGTATAAATAAGCACTGCCAAGGGATGGGTGACTGGCAACTTGAGAAACCTGGGTTCCTGTTTGAGAGAGGTTTTGTGGAGAAAGGTTTCTTCGAGGCTCTCTTAGAGGTGAGAGAAGGCAGAGCCTCAGTGAAGCCCACACCCAGTCCTGGAATGGCCCAGCGGAATCCAGAGGTGGGCGAGAGCCCGAGTCCACACAGAGGTGGCCATCGAGTTCCTCAGAGCCGGGGTCACCATGCCCGTAGCCTCCATCCACACTGCCTGGAACAGGTTGGTAGAGAGCTCTGGGGGTGGGGTGTCTCGGTTACCTTCTGCTTCATCTCTCTACCTCTTGTACTCACAGGAGCACCTCTATTGCTTATGAAAATTAAGGGTAATATTTCTTAAGGAAGTGGAAAGAGTTTATTTTAATTAGAAATCCACAACCTAGGAAGAAATGTTTCCCACCAACATAAGCAAAAACAGCACGTTAAACTTTTATGTGGTCCCTTTGCTTTCCCATAACTTTGAAAACATGAGGCTACTGGGGGGACTTTAAGTAACACCTGGGAGTCAAGCAGAGCTTTGAGGACAGGTGGTGAGCACAGGGAGTAGAAGTAGAAACCAAGGGCTCTGGTGCTGTAGACTTCCAGGGCAGGGCAGAGAGTGGAAGCTCTTCAGGTCTGTGGGGTGCTGCCTGTGTGTGCATGTAGGGTGAGAGAGTGCTGAACATGGGTGAGTACAGCACACAGGAGCTCATGGAAGAGCAGCTTTCTAGGTCTTGACAAAGAAGCTGGCAATAGATTTGTCTTTATATTTTTAAGAAAGGGGTTGGGGGGTAGCCGAGATCCATCACTGTTTTTTTTGCCCCCTCCCCCATAGATTGTCAGCTGTAAGTGAAACTCCTAGTGAAAAAGAGGGGAGCCCTGTGCTAGGAGTCCCCATAAACATGTACTGTAATTCTTTGTATATACAAAAAATTACTGTAAAGTAAAGTTTAACTTTACTCTTATGGCCCTTGCCCTGTGTTTTGTTTTCTTGTCCGTGGGGAGTCATAGCCTAACAGGAGGGTGGATTGATGGGGGTGAGAGCAGAAGCCAGCCCAGGTTAGTTCCTGAGGTTTGAACATAGTAGAGCTGAGCCCTTCCTCCAAGCACCCCATGGACAGTGGTGTGGGTTTCCTCCCAGTAGCGACTGGCTGCCTGAGGGTCTTTCTTTCGTGTTGGGAGTAGCTGGTGTCAGTTTCAGTTCCATCACCCATAAAGGAAGAGTATTTTGAGGAATTGGTTTTTAAAAAGGAAGTGGAACCAAAGCACTCTCTGAGCAAGAATCTCATCATCTTGGTCAATTTTTTTGTTGTTCAGAGGCAGGTGTTAGGCACTATAGAGGACCCAGCCCAGGCCTAAATGCAGGAAAGCAGAGGCTAAACATCAACAGGAAGGTGAGGCCCCATCCTGGGGCCAGACGTTCCAGAACGGAAGGGGCTGCAATACATTTCTTTTTGGTTGCACAGAAAGCTTAAATCCTGTTTACGATAACACCTGATCCTTCAGAAATGCTTGAACCTCCAAGCTCTAAAAATGCTTTGGGAACTGGGAGTTTGACCCCATTTCTGACCAAGTCCCGAACTTCAGTAAAAAGCCATCAAGGGACAGTGGGAAGATGAGCATTTAGTACTATAGTTAGTCTTCACAATCCTAAGCTAGACCAACCTGTCTCGAGGTAGGCGTGCTTAACCCTTTTCCTCCAGATACCACTTACATGCACTCCTTTCTGGGCACCCAGAAGGAATAGTTAGCTTTGTATTGCCCCAGCTCTAGCCTCTCACCCTCTTGCCCCACTAAAAAACAGAAAAGGGTCTTTTGTCTCTCCAGTCTCTCAGCCATAGCCTTGAGATGAAGCTACTTGCTTTCCAAAGGAAAACGGAGAGTTGGAAGAAGCCTTAATATAGGAAGTGATGCCAACCAGGTGGCCCCAGAAAGAAAATAAGTGTCTTGATACCCACACAGCAGGGAAAGGGGCTGAACGTCATTCACAGTGCATTCATTTTATTTACAAGTCAGAAGCCACTTAAAATGCAGACACACGTGCTGTCCAGGGCAGAAGCCTGGGGTCCAAGTCAGCCCTCAGCCCTCCTCATTCCCATCAGCCCAATGCTGCCTCCGTTCCATGGGCCAGCACAGGCAGGTGCCACCTCTGCCGCCCTGGGGACCTGGGGTAGCTCAGACATTTGACCACCCAAGCCTAGACAAGAGCTGGGTCCAGCCCTGTGGGAATTCATTTAATTCCCCCAGGCCAGGTGGGTGGTGACTCAGTGATGACAACAGCTGTAGAAGTAGGGGTTTGCCTTCTGGCCCAGGTCCACACCCTTGTCCTCTGTCAAAGAGAGATGGCAGCTCAACACCATTCTGCTTGGGGGATCAGGTAACTCATGAAGAGGGCAATGGCCTAGAGGAAGTCTCCACAGAGGCTTGGGGAAGCACGCACCTGTCATCACCTGGAAAGCAGCCACGCTGACGTAATCCTCTGCCACTTTCTGGAAGAGCTCATCTGGCAGGAAAAAGGACGATCAGTGAGGGCCTAATGCCAACAGTCCTGGAATCATCCACTGACCCAGCCCTCTAAGCCGTTCTCTGCTTCCTTGGATACCCCTGCCTGTCCTAGTGTGAGGCCCCAGGACAACACTCACCCACACTTTGACCAGTCTTGCTAGATGTTTCAAAGAGCTGAGCTTTGATATCTGTAAAGAGAACTGACTAAACCCTCATACCTAAGAATATCGGTATAGAACAAAAGGGGAAGGCTAGCAGTTCAGGAAATCTGGACCCCTCAGGTCCACAGAGCCCAGAAAAATCTCAGGGACCTTGCCAAGGCAGCCAAGCAGTGACTTCCCTCCCCCAAACCCTGGGGACTGAGGAGCAATACTGTCTGCATAGTCCTGGACATCGTGGAAGTCCACACGTCGACGTCGCCGATCCTCCTCTAGCAGGTCACTCTTGGTGCCACAGAGATAGATCTGACAGCCCTGGGGCAAAAAGCAAAGTGAGGGTCACCTTCATGAACTACCATAGCCCCAGCCCCTGGTCCCCTGGCTAGGTGTGGCCACCTACCTCTTCTAGGCTGCGCAGTTCCTTCACCCAGAACTTTGCTCTCTCAAAGCTGCTGCTGTCTGTGAGGTCTTGGTGGATGGGGCACGAAGGAGACACAATCAAGGGTCAGAAGCTGGTCTGAGGCTATCTGGCACCCACCCCTGCTGCCTGAGAACAGGCCAGAACCCCCCTTACCATAGCACACGATGGCAGCCTTCGCACCCCGATAGTAGATTCGGCTCATGGCCTCGTAGCGCTCAGAGCCTGCTGTGTCCTGAAGGGCAGGGGAAGCCTCAGCTCTAGCCCGAGTTGCTAAGCTACTCCCCAGACTGCAAACTACCGGCCACATTCTCCAGAACCCCATTTTCCAAATAAAGAAACTAGGGTCTATAGAAGAAAAATGGTCTCTCTGGACCCCCAAGTCAGCCAGTGATGGGCAGGACCTAAGGCCTTCTCAGGAATGGGCTTCCCCAGGTGACTTACCCAAATACCCAAAGTCACTGTCCGGTCTCCGACAGACATCACCTTGGCCACGAAGGCGGCTCCAATGGTCTGCAACGAGGGGAAACAGATGAGGCCCGCAGGTGCGGTCTAACCCCCTCCTACCCGTGCCCGGCCTCACGGGTCACACTCACGTTCTGATAGGGCCCCACCAGGAAGCGGTCATGCACGTAACGCTCCACCAGGCTCGTCTTGCCCACGTACTCCTTGCCCAGCATCACCACCTTCACGTCCACGCGCTGCCCACTCATGCTCCCGGGACCGCCTCACCAACGTTGGGGTCCGGAGCCGGGACGAGAGGCAAACCCGGATCTCCGCTCGGCCCAGGAAGTGTCCAACCCTCCGACCCCGACCGCCGGCGCCAACCTGCTACTCGAGACACCGCGGGGGGCTTGAGCTCCGGCGGCGGCCTCACACCTCGACGGCGCCCCCACCTGTCCCGTCTCGTCGGCCCCGGGTACTGATCCTCTTTTGAAGAGACCGAGACCCGGGGCGGCCTGGGAGCGCGCGGGGTAGCGCCCTCAACGGCGCTGCACGCCGCTGCCCAGCCTGCTCCCTCGTCCGCCTCGCCGAGGCTCCACTGAGGTTTGGACTCCTAGCCAAGCGCGGCTCGGAGCCGACCCTGCTCCGGCCCGCAGCGAATAGGGGCGGGGGAGGTGAGGGGAGAAGGCGAGGGGGCAGGACCGCTAGGTCACGTGGCGCGGGCGCCGGAAGCGATGTGTGCGGCGCCGGAAGTGGTGCGCTATCTGACTACTCCTCATGGCGGCGGCATCAGGTTGGGCGCGGTGTGGCGGTGACTGAGCTGCGAGCCTGGCGGGCGTGCGCCGAGCCCCGGCCCGGCCTCCGCGTGCCCCCGGGGCTCCGCACCCCTGATGCTGCGCGGGTGCTGAGCCCGCCCCGGCCGGGACGATGGTGAAGTATTTCCTGGGCCAGAGCGTGCTCCGGAGTTCCTGGGACCAAGTGTTCGCTGCCTTCTGGCAGCGGTACCCGAATCCCTACAGGTACGTGACCCTGGAAAGAGCAAACCTTCCCTCGTTACTTGGAGATTGAAGAGTGGACGACCCCCAAATAAGGGGGCTGGGAAGAACTCGACACCAAGTCTGAGATGAGGAATCCCTAAACGGTGGCTGTCTTTAGGGCACGAGAACCTTATCGGGGAAGCAGCCAGGCCTGCAAGGTCCCGAAGGGGAAAGCTGGGCCTAGGCAGTTTTATGTGAGTCCTTAGTCGAAGGTCCTCTTAGGGTGGGGAGACAGGAAGAGGCGGCGGCACAGGAGTCGGGCTAGATCTTGGGGTTGGAAATTCGGGCTCTTCCCTACTCCTCGTCCTCTCTCCAGTGGTGCAATAAATCCTGAGGTTCAGCCCTGATGAAAGGCCCAGGAATCCAGGTCAGCGAGGGGGCAGGAGTTGGAATTTGCCCTGGGGATAGGCTCAAGGGACTCCACTGCAGGTCTGGGCCACAGCACAGATTACTCTGCGAGATTACAGGAAGTCTGGGCCAGGTTGCTCCAAGTGGGAGCCCCAACGGGCCGTGTACCAGGGGAAGGCTCCTGAGGATCACCTCTCTGCCACGTGCAGCAAACATGTCTTGACGGAAGACATAGTACACCGGGAGGTCACCCCTGACCAGAAGCTCCTGTCCCGGCGACTCCTGACCAAGACCAACAGGATGCCTCGCTGGGCCGAGCGACTGTTTCCTGCCAATGTTGCTCACTCGGTGTACATCCTGGAAGACTCTATTGTGGACCCACAGAATCAGACCATGACTACCTTCACCTGGAACATCAACCACGCCCGGCTGATGGTGAGCGCCTCTCCCCCAAAGGTAGAGCTGTCCTCGGGTATGGCTGTAGAACCCGGAGGGAGTGCTCGTGGTCTGAGGCGGGTCTGGGTTACTGAAGCACAATGGTTCTAGCGTACAGCCTCAGATTATCTTTTCAGCTGGTTAGTTTTTCTGGACTTAAAACAGGCAGGGGTATCTGTTTTACAGAGTTGTTAAAAGTACTAAATACAAAGCACTCAGCACTGTGTCTGGTACACCCATAGGTTGTAGCCCAAAGGAGTGGTACTGAGGGAATGAGGCAGTAGTTTTCAAACAGGAGTCCATCGAGCCATAAGGGTGCCCTTGGTGTGCTTGGGAGGGTTGAGTGTGCTTGGGAGGGAGAGGCTCTGTGCCTATTGTCCCACTTTGATAGGAGGAATTCCAGTTTTATTTGTGTTATGGAATAGATTTCTGCCCAAGATTTTGGGAAAATGGGTTCCACATACGTTTGATCTCTTGCCTGTAAAAAAAAAAAAAATCTGAAAACTCATGGTTTAAGGAACATTCTAAGGTATCTTCTCACATGTGAATACCCCAGAAGCTTTCGGAAGATGCTCATTCTCAGCTAATCCTCAAATAACCCTGGGAGGTGGGCAGTGCTCTCTGTTGTGAGGTTCAGAGAGGGGAAGTGTCCTACAAGGTCACAGAAGAAGCAGGTAGCTTACTCCACTGACAGGACTGTTCTGCCCCAGAGTTATCGGAAGTCATCACAAATGACTACCATAAGGGCACTATCTCCATGTGAGAAGTGGGTCACAATAAAGGGTCCTGGACAGAGCAGGAGAAAAATATAGAACAAAATTCACGTTCATAAAAAGACCAGACTTACTGGTCTGAAGGAGACTAGAGGAACCCGCGAGACTATGGCCCCTGGACACTCTGCTAACTCAGAACTGAAGCCACTCCCGAAGTTCACCCTTTAGCCGAAGATTAGATGAAAGGCCCTGGGCTATAAAACAATAACACACATAAGGTGCATGCTTCTTAGTTCAATAAAGTATACAAGACCCAAACGGGCAACATGTGCACAAAGGCAAGGATGAGAAGGCAGGAAGGTGGAGGAAAACTGGACGAATGGAAATGGGGAAACATTGCAGGGATTGCAACCAATGTCACAAAATAATTTGTGTATAAATTTTTGAACAAGAAACTAATTTGCTCTGTAAACTTTCACCTAAAGCACAATTTAAAAAAGTACAAAGAAAAAATACAGGGTCAGGATGGGAGTGGAAGACACTTTGCTGTGCTGTTACATAGACATTATTGAGTTGGTATATGTTTTGTTAGGTATTTTTTCAACATAATAAAAAATTTAAAGACATTTTTATATAAAGATCAAAAACAAAAGTCCACATCCTTTCTAGTTTGGTCAGAAGAGAGGGTTTAGACAGCAGGATTGCCTTTTTTTATGGCCATCTTGCTCTCTGTAAATGCAGCTCCTTGGGGATGCAGTAAGGGGAGGGAACAGATTTTCGTTTTATTGTTTCCCCTTGTGAAAAGAGGCAGGGGGTCAAATTTATGTGCAAGTTGGCAAAATGAAAGATTCTCAAGCAATTGTGACTGGCCTCACTCCCTGCACAGGTGGTGGAGGAACGCTGTGTTTACTGTGTGAACTCTGATAACAGCGGCTGGACCGAAATCCGCCGGGAAGCCTGGGTCTCCTCGAGCTTGTTTGGTGTCTCCAGAGCTGTCCAGGTGAGCAGCATTGTGGGGGCTGCGGGCTGGGGCGTTTGGTCTAGAGGCTGGGCTGGGGCTCACTGATCAGCTCAGCACCTTCCCCCTTCTCATCTTTCACCAGGAATTTGGTCTGGCCCGGTTTAAAAGCAACGTGACCAAGACTATGAAGGGTTTTGAATACATCTTGGCCAAGCTGCAAGGTGAGAGCCCTGGGCCCTGTGGGGGGGAACCTTACAGTGAGAAGCTACAGCTAGGTCTTAGCTCCACCCTGGCAGGTGTGGAGCCTGGGTCAGTCACTGCCCCACTCTAAGCCTAAGACCCATCTGTATTGTGGGGCTAATGCCACCTTTCCAATGGGACCTGGCCCATAGGAGACAGGGGTGACTAGGCAGGTCATCTGGGGGTCATCTGAAGCCAGCCCCCAGCCCTTTGCTACAGGTGAGGCGCCTTCCAAAACACTTGTTGAAACCGCCAAGGAAGCCAAAGAAAAGGCAAAGGAGACGGCGCTGGCAGCTACAGAGAAGGCCAAGGACCTTGCCAACAAGGCGGCCACCAAGAAACAGCAGCAGCAGCAACAGTTTGTGTAGCCGGGCCCTTCCCACCACCACCACACACCAGACAATCTGGCTCCAACTCCTCTGCCTTATCCCCAGTGTGTTTTTCTTATTAAAAATCAATTTCTAGCTCTATCTACTGTCTGAGGGGTAGGGTGGGGATGGGGGGCAGGGGTCCTGTTTGGCATTTACAGGACACCAAGCACATTACCCGTGTCTGTGCAGGGCCTGCTTATTCCCCCATTAGGCAGCTAAGGACTCTGAGGCACAGAGAGGTGCATACTTGCCCAGGGTCACAGTGTGCAGGTGAAGTGGTCATAAACCCTAGACTGTAAGCTCCGCGAGGGCAGGGATCTCTGTTTGCTTTCTGATGTGTCTCAAGTACCTGGAACAATATCTAGCACATAATAGGCACCAATAAATGTTTGTTGAATTCAGTCGGCCACAGCTCTGGAGTCTGAGCTTTGGTTTGAGTCTTGACTCCGCTGGTCCTGCCTTTGGACCTCAGGCAAGTCACGTCCCACAGCTTCAGCCTCATCGTGGGCAGAACTGCCTCAGAGCTGGAAAAACTGTGTGTTGCCTGGCCTGGAACACGGTGTTCTTGGTGGTGGCTGCTTTTATTTCCTCTTTTCGAGTTTGGTCTGTGTCTGGGAGTTCCCCATTTTCATCAGGCAAGACCATGGACAGAGGAAGTTTTTTAAAAAAAAGAAGGCTTTTAATGAAAATGCTGTACAGTATTTGTGGGGCAGAGGCCAGGAGGCCTTGTCCTGGTAGGAAACGAGGGTCCAAGAGGCTTTCTGCCCCCTTGCGGGCGGCAGAGCCAAGTGCTACAGAAAACGCCTGGAAGGGTAGCCCAGGCCCAAGCTGCCTGCCCTGCAGGGCTCAGGGGTGGCCCAGGTGTGCTCCCTCCCCTCAGGGACTGCCTAGCCACCATCCCAAGGGTGGCAGGGAGTACCTGCACACACAGGTCCTTTTAGTTCATTCTGACAGGTGATTCCAGGCAGCCATTGAAGCCTGGGAAGGGCCGCCTGGCTAGGTCAGCCTGCCATGAGCAGAGGGCAGAGGCCGCTCTGGGGCAGCAAGGGTCATAGCCAGGCACCATCACCATGTGGGAAGTTGTGTGAGTAGCTGTGCTCCTGGCCAGCGCTGAAGCCCCGCAGCAGCTCTGCCTTGCCCCCAAACACCAGGCTTTCCACGTCCACCTCCAGCTCCTCTGCACAGGGAGGGTCCCGTCAGAAGATCTGGCCACCCCACCCCCGGCACCCGCTGCCCACAGCCTGAGGGCACTCACCTTGGTCTGAGTCCCAGCGCTCAGAGGAGAGGCCTGAGGAGTCCAAGCTGTCTGTCCGCAGCCGCTCCCGCTCGCCTGGTCCTGCCGGCGCCCGGAGCTGCTCCAGCTGCTGCTGCAGGCTCTGCTGCCTGCTGCGCAGCTTCTCCTTCAGCCGCCGAGCCTGCCGCTCCTGCTCCTCCAGCTTCTGTGGAGCCCGAAGGAGCAAGGGGCTGGAGCCACTGGCCCAGGGGCTTAGCCTCACCTCAGCACCCCTCAGCAGCAGGCCATGGCCACGCGGTGCCCTCTGCCTACTCCAGACAGGTGGCTAAATCGGGGCGCCGCATCCTCCAGGAAGCCAGTCCCTTCCAGCCCCTCTTCACAACTTAGATGGACTGTGAGTTTTGTCTAGATGGGGGTGGAGTGTATCACAATCTTAAAGCCTTCGGGGGCTAGTCAAGCAGTATAAAGGAGAGAAGTACCCTGGTGTAAGGCAATAGGGACTGGGGGAGACAGGCGAACTGGCCAATACGTGCACAGCTCAAGGAGGCAGCCACTTGCAGTTTCCAGCCAGTTGCCACGTGGAAACACAGGCCTAGTGCTGCCAGGTCTCCCAATTTCTTCGAGAAGCTAGATTTTTTTCACGTCAGATTTGCTTTTAAGTGCTGCCAACTGATTGAAATTTTTGAGAAAACTATAGACCAAACAAAGGTTACTGGCAGATCCTCAGGGTAGATCCAAGAGCCCTGTGCCTTCAGCATTCACATCTCCTCTGCCCACACACCAACCCGAGCTCTGCCAGCCCTAAAGGCCAGAGGGGTTCACCCACTCCTCCAGCAGGAGCCCAGGTGCCAAGCTTATGCAGAGCCCTCAGCGGGCTCTGAATTCTTATTGAATTCAGTCATTCAATAAGACAGGAGAATTGGGCCAAGGGAGCACTTGGACTGGGTCTAGAAGAATGAGTCAGATAGGGCAAAGATGGGGAAGGAAGAACCATCCAGGCACAGGGAGACTTGAAGAGCATGGAGGGAGGATTCAGCTTTGTGGGGATGGGGAGGCATGACAGAAAAAGCAGGCCTGTGGCGAGGCCTGGATTGTGAATGGCCTTGAATTTTACAGGAAGTAAGGAACTGACAGTTGGTCCTGTCAGGAGCCATTGGAAGGTTTTCAGCAGGAGACAGTTTGGGCAGATCTACGTGCTGCAAATATTCTAGGGTAAGGTGGAGAACAGGCTGGTGGCCAAACAGGAAGCAGGGGGCCTGGAGAGAAGGCAGGTGTAAATGAGTCCAGGAGAGGATTGATGGGCTTCAAGGAAGGAGATCCCCAGATCCTTCCACAGGTAAGCCCAGCAGAGAACCAGGCCAGGCAGGTTCCCTGTGAGAAGGTGGGTCACGCTGCCTCCAAAGGGGGAAGGTGCCCCTGGCCCTGGAGCAGTCAGGGTTGGGGAAGTTAGTAACGAAGGCAGAACAGGGCACTCCAGGAGGGGAATATGGGGCTGATGGTCAACTCTGGGGGCCACTAAGGGCTGGGGGTGTTGTATAATGGAGACTCTGAGCAGCAGGAGGCGACGACCACTACAGCAGGGAGCTGTCAACAGTCCTTAAGCAGGAGGACACCTCACAGACATGCTGAGATGACTTAAGGTCTGGAACACACCTATGAGACGGTAGGGAGGGGTACTAGGGCTAGGAGCGAAAGGAGATCATCAGCCCTTTAGCCCCTCCCCAGGTCCCACCATGGTGTGACTCAGCCACAATGAGGGTGACAGCAGGACAGCCGGCATCCATGGGACAGTGTGAATGGTTCCCACATCAATCCCTCTGTCATGGATCCGTGTGCCTAAAACAGTGCCTGACAGAGCAGGTGCTCAGGAGATACTTGTTGAAGGAAAGAATGCAAAGTCAGAGGACCTGGACCTGGGCCCTGAATCTGCTTTTCATCAGCTGTGCAACCTGACTGGCAGCGGGGCCTTCATTTCAGGCTCCTTTGCTCCTGATATATCTAGGGCTGACTCGGGCCCTGAGTCAGCACACCTGCCCCTGTCTACCAGGGCGTGCTGAGCCCAGCCCAGGCAGCAGTAGGGCCCTGGGAGGACCGGTGGCTGGCACCTTCTCTGTCCTGTCCCCTCCTGGTCTCTGGAGCAGCATCGGGCCAGACTGCCCAGAGCAGGAGGCCTTGAAGGATGGGGTGGGGGAAGACGAGGACCAACCCTCCACAATCCAAGGGACCCTTACATAAGACCTATCACAGAAGCTTTTCAACAGCGGGTCAGACAGAGAAGGACCAGGAAGTCCAGAGAAGCTGACTGGCCCAAGGTCTCACAGCTGGGATCTTAAGTAACAATCATAGTAATAACAACAATGAACACTACTGTTTGAACGTGTTTAAGCCTCAACCCTCAGAGTTACTTTCTGGTTTTCTTCCCATTTAACAAGCATGGAAACCAAAGCCCAGAGAACTGTCCAGAATCACACAGTTGGGTTATGACCTCAGGTCTCTTTCCCCAGTTCTATCCAACCCCTCTATACTACACTCCTCCAGGCACCCTGGCAAGCTGGCCCCGGGCACACGGATGGCCCTTACCTGGATGTGTACCCTGGCTCGGCGCAGGAGGCTCAGGGTGGTATATCGGGCACAGTCAGCCCCCAGGGGCATCTGCTGCTTCAGCTGCTCCAGGCACCGCTTCAGCTGGGCTCTCCTGCAGGGGAAGGGGTCTGGAGGGCAGTGCCAGCCCCCGTTGTTGGCCCCAGGGATGGCAGGGGAGGGGAGGCCAGAGGGAACTGTTCCAGGGCCTTGTGCATCAGGACAGGGCTGGAACTCACCTGCGCTTTTCCAGCTCGTTGTGCACAGACCTGCCAAGGCCAGGGAGGAGGGGAGAGGAGACGTCAGCCATCTGGTAATGAATGGCCTGGGGCCCAGAGCTCCCAGGCAGGGGCAGGGGAGTCAGTGACACACACACGGAGTCAAACGCTGAGAAGGTTACCCCTGGCAGCTATGGGAATCCAAAGGAGGCCTCTGCCAGCCAGTCAGCAAGGGCTTCCTCGGCAGAGGGAACATTTGCGCTGAGTCCAGAAATAAGTTTCCCAAAGGGGAAGGATAGAGGGAGGGAATTTCAAACAGGAGGGAACAGCATGTGCAAAGGCCTCTGTGTAGTTTGCTGTGTGGAGTGGAGAAGTGTGAGTGGACGCAGGCCCAGAACTGCCTTGTTCACCGTTCCTGGCACATCAGAGGTGCTCAAGAAATAGTCCTTGAATGAATGGATGGATGTGTGTTCAGAAGGTGATGGAAAGAGGGTATGAGCGAGTAAGGGGTCTGAATGGGTCCTGGAGCAGGGTACCTGGCCCAGAAAATGCAGAGAGAGGAAGTAACAGGGTCGAGGAGAGGCACGAAGCAGGACAGCGCCCATCCCCCGCCCCGCCGCCCCGGGCCCTCCTTACCGCCCACTGTCCAGCGCGCCAGGAGCCTGGAGGGGCCGCTTCTTCCTCCTGTGGACGGGGCCTGGGCTGCGGTGCGGGCACAGGGACGCGTAGCCATGCTCGGCCTCTGCCGGACAGAGCCCGCCCGCGTCAGGTCTGGGAAGGGCTTTTGGCACCGGGGCCATTTCCCCAATCCCTCCCTGCCCGACCGACGGCGGACCTCTCTTGGGGTGCGAGCTGAGGGCGGGGTCGCCCTGGGGCGACTGCGCTCGGGCCAGGCATCCTTTGAGTTGGGAGCCAAGTCCGGTCCAGGCCCGTGTCAGCGAGGCCGCCGGCCCGGAGTCCGGCCAGGGGCTCTTCCTCACCTCTCTCGCGGCGCTCCAGGTACTCGGCCGCCTGCAGCAGGACCTGGATGTTGCTGGCCACGGGTTCCATGTCGGCAACAGCAGGCAGCGGGCGGGCCTGGGGTGCCCGCGGAGCAGCACTGCAGCACTTTTGTTACAATATAACTGACACGGAGCAACAAACACAGTGCCCGGCCCCGCCCCCGGGACGCCCCGCCCCTGCCCCGCCCCCGGGACGCCCCGCCCCACCGCCCACCCTCTGCTAGCTCGCCCGCCCACCGCCCCCAGCGGCGCGGGACTCCCGCCAGGCTAGTCTGGCCGCCGGCTCCGAGCCTGGCCCTTCGGCGAACCCGCGGGCTGGGGGAGCTGCATCGGGCCTGCTTCGCTGAGCGATCCCGCGCCGGTCACTCAGCGCCCCGGGGCTCGTGCCCAGTATCGCGCGGGTCTAGGGGACCGCGCGCCGGGAGCCGGACTTGGGGACGGGTCCTCCCGGGAGCCATGGCTCGGTCGCGCACGTGGGAGCCGCAGGGGCGGGGCCGGCGCGCGCCGCGCACCTATTGGCCCGTGGCTCGCTCTGCGGCACGATTGGCTGGCCCGCGGCCCCGCCCCCTCCCGCTGCTGGTCAGCACATTCAGGCGGGAAAAGAAGCAGGTTTCAAATTTGAAAACCAGGGCGACAGGGGCGGGGCTGAGCGGGGAACTGAGCCTCAGTGCGCAGGCGCGGGGGAGGGGCCGCAGATCCAGCCGCTGCGCTTGGGGGTCTTTCCCCGCACCTGCCTGCCATCTGCCGGTCCTAGGCCTAGGCTAGGGTTCAGCTTCCCATTGTGTCGAATCAGAGTAACCGCAGTCTTGGGACCAGGGCTTCAAATCGGTTTGTTCTGGTTTGACCCCCTGCTGAAAATTTGCATTTCTAACAAGTTCCTAGGCGATGCTAATGCTGCTGGTTAGGGATCAATTCTGAGAATCACTAGTAGAGGAATGGTTTTCAAAATTTATTATAGTAAGAATCACCTGGGGATCTTGTTAAAATGTAGATTTTGATTCAGTGTATCTGGGGTGGAAATGCAAATTATCAGCACGGGATCGAACGAAAACTAACCGGTTGGAAGCCCTGCTTGGGACCTCCTGGCTCCTTGTCATCTTCAGGGAAGCTGTTGTTGCTAGGAGAACATCGGTAGGATAACAACTTCCCAGGTCGCACGTGAACTGGCTTTCCTGGGTGCTCTGGGTTCTGGAACCGTTCGAGTTGCGTTCCTCCCTATCACTGCTACTTCTCAGCTGCTTGTGACTCGGAAGGCCCTGCGACAACGTCGTTGCAGGGTCTGTGTCTTGCCTGTGCAGCCCCAGTAGTTAGGAGCTGGTGCTGCTGCTGATTTCCAAGATGATGCCGCCAGATGCGGGCTTCCCCCTCCCAGGGAGCCCCTGGTTGCCTTACTCAGAGCCCTTCTTTAAGGTAACTTTCCCTAACCTTCGTTCGGGAAGCAGGACCAGCAAGTATGGCCACACCTGCAGGGCAGTTAATCTAAGGGTGGAGGCAGGAAGATGAAAGCGGCTGTAACTGCATGGAGCATTTACTGCCAAGGCTGGCCTGAGGCCTGAATGGAGTCAACCAGATAATGGAGAAGTGGTGGGGAAGGGAGGCGATTGGGGTTGGGGGGTGGGGGGGTGGAGAGACTAGATAATTTATAGAGACCAAACCATCCCATTGCAGTTGAGTCTATTCGGACTCATAGCAACCCTACAGGGCAGAGTAGAACTGCCCCATAGGGTTTCCAAGGAGCGGCTGGTGGATTCAAACTGCCGAACTTTTGGTTAGCTGTCATAGCTCTTAACCACTGTACCAGTAAACACAGGGCATGAGGCAGTCAGGTCTCAGTTCCTGGGCAGAAACCTTGGAGTTTTTCTAAGGATCACTCCCAGAGGAGTCACTGGCATGCTTAGCCACTAACTGCTGCTGGGACTGTCCACCCATCCATCCATCTACTCACTAAGCATTTCTGAGCACTTACAGGACACCAGGCACTGTATCCAGTGCAGTCCCCAGAACTGGGGAATGCAATGATGGGCAAAAACAGTCTCTACTTTAGCAGAGCTCACAGGCTTCAGGGGGAGAGAGACCAATATCATAATTACACAAACTTAGAGGTACAGCTTTGACAGGTCCTCACAGGAAAAGACAATCCTGAGGACACATCCTAAGGAGCGTTTGACCTGATCAGGAGGTGAGAGAAGATTTTTCTGGGGAAGTGAATTGTCTTAATTACCTAGTGCTTCTGTAACAGAAATACCACAAGTAGGTGGCTTTAAAGAACAGAAATGTATTTTCTCATGGTTCAACAGGCTAGAAGTCCGAATTCAGGGTATGGCTCTAAGGGAAGGTCCTTCTTTGTCTACTTCAGCTTCTAGTAGTTGCTGGCAATCCTTGGAGTTCCTGGGTTTGCAAATTCATCTGCCTCTGTCAGATGACCCATGTCTTTTGCCTGCATCTGGGTCTAATCTCCTCTTTTTATAACTCAGAAGAAGTCAGGTTTAGGACCCACCCTACACTGGTATGGCTTCATTAACATAACAAAAACCTTATTTCCCAACAGGATTACATCCACAGGAATAAGGGCTAGGGTTCCAACACACATTTTGGGGAGACACAATTCAGTCCATAACATTCCACCCTTCAGCTCCCCAAAATTCATGTCCTTCCCATGTGAAAAACACAGTCATCCTATCACATCAATGAACAGGTGTTAACTGTGTGTAGAAGGGAATGTAAAAGAAATCCAGACAAGGAGCAGTGTGTGCAAAGGCCCTGAGGCTAAAAGGAATGTGGCAGTATGTAGGCTGAAAGGCAGCCAGTATATCTAGCACAAGGAAGGCAGAGTGTATGTGCTGCAAGCTGACCCTGGAGGGGCTGGCAGGGCCCAAAACAGGCAGACGGGTTCCCCAGCCCCCACCTCCAGTCAGTTACGTTTGAAGAAAGGAGTCACAAGGCTTGTGGATGAATTTCCAGTTTTATTTCACTAAAGTCAGCAGCAACATAGTGCAGGCACAAACCTTCTAGTCAGACATTAGGGGCCCAGGGAGTGCAATCTTCGACTGTGGGTGGGCTGGGGGGGTTGTTACTAGAGGAGGTGAAGTTTAAGTTGAGACCTGAAGGAGGAGAGTTTCCAGCAGAGGGACTGCAACAATGGTGGCCCCGAGGTGGGAGGGAGCAAGGCAGGCTTGCAGACAGGGGGTGTGGAGGTGAGGCAAGGGCTGTGCGGGGGCTGGAGAGGTGGGTGAGGTGGTCCCTGATGACAACATCAAGGAGTTTGGTCTGCATCCTAGGAGACATGGGGAGGATTCCAGAGAGGGAACAACATGGAGGCAAAAGTCGGCCTGGCCTCAGGCCTCCATCCATACATGTGGGTCATGGCCATGGGCAAAGGGGCCATAGGAGGCAGTACCTCCTGGGGAGCAGGGCAGATGGGGAAGACAGGGCTTGAACCTAGAGCTCTGGGCCAGCAGGGCTTCTGCACCAAGCTCCTATGTGCTGCTCTGGGCTCAGCCAAGAATGGTAGGGAGGCCTGAAGGCTTGGGGTCTAGGCTCCCTTGTGAGATCTGACACCACTCCAGGTCCCTCCAGGAGCCACACCATGCTCTGGAGTTTGCCCCAGGGTTCCATCTCAGGCACCCTGTCCCCGGTCACCTGCAGACCAGAAAGCTTCCCCAGGATAGGCACACCCCCACCCTAAATGCCTCCAAGGGAACATTTTAGCCAGAAATGGATATTCTAGAGTGCACAGGCCTGTTTCACTAGCCCAGACTGGGACAACAGGACCCTGAACAAGTGGCAACGTGCACAGAAGACCTGGAGTGAGAGGGGGGTGAGGAGAGGTCTTTCCTGAACACCCATGGGGCGGGCCAGCCCCAGCCACTCAGCACCTCCCTCTACACTCACCACCACCAGGGAGGGCATAGTTGTGATCTCCATTTTGTTGTTAACTGCTGTTGAGTTGGCCCCCAACTCCTGGTGACCCCATGCAAAATGGGACAAAATGCTACCCAGGCCTGCACCATCGGCCACGATCAGTTGCGAATATTGAACCTTTGTGATCCATAGGGTTTTCACTGGCTGATTTTCCGGAAGTAGATTACCAAGCCTTTCATCCTAGTCCATCTTAGCCTGGAAGCTCCACTGAAACCTGTTCAGCATCATAGCAACACCCAAGCCTCTGTGGTCTCCCACATGGAAGGTGACAATTCTACCACTGAACCACCACTGCCCTCATCTCCAATTTACAGATGAGCAAACTGAGGCCAAGAGAGGAGGGAATGAGGCCAATGCACAACCTCAGCAAAGGTGTTGGAGCTGGGATCTGAAGCCAGGTCCGCTCCAGTCTGTATGTAAAACAGGAACTAGGAAGTGAACCCAGAAGTGAATTTGGGACAAAAGGATTCATCCTCATAGGATTGAGAGAGGTTTGAGTGGCTATAAATGGGACAAGGACCTTTAAGAGGGTTTGTCAACAGAGACTGGATCTGAGGTCAGGATTGGTGGCCCCAGAGGAGTTAGGATGGGGACAGAGACAGTGTACGTAGGAGGGGATTCAAGGAGAGGGCTTCAGGGAAGAACAGCCAACCTGGCCCTGTGCCCCTGCTCCAGGACTGGTGTTCCTTCCCCCTCAGCAGTGACCTGCCTTAGAACCTCTGTCCTAGGGCCCCCTCACCCCAGGGACCTGCACTGCTGATGGGCACTCCATGGTCCAGGCCTGGGTTATTTCCCTGTGGCTCCTGTAACAAAATACCACAAAGTGGGTGGCTTCAATTTATTGTCTCACAATACTGTCTCACAGAAGTTTATTCTCTCATACTTCTGGAGGTCAGAAGTTCAAAATCAAGGTGTTAGCAGGGCCGTACTCCCTCTGGAGTCTCTAGGGGAGGATCCTTCCTTGCCTCTTCCAGCTTCTGGTGGTCCCAGGCATTCCTGGGCTTATGGCAGCGTCACTCCAATCTCTGCCTCCGTCTTCACATAGCTGTCTTCTCTCTACACATGTCTGTCTCTCCATGTCTCTTCTCTTCTTAGAAGGACATCAGTCATATTGGATTAGGACCCACCCCATTCCAGTATGACCTCATATTAACTAGTTAAATCTGCAAAGATGCTATTTCTGA